TCAATTTTCGAGTTGTTACTATCAAAGCTAATGCCAACCTTTCAATCTTCTGATATCATAGCTCGGCCCATTTAAGGACTTTTCTAACAAAATACACTGGTCTTTCTCCACCTTCCCCTTCTTGTAAGAGAACATAATTCATAGCCTTACCGGGTATTGCTAAATACAGGACCAGGGGTTCATTTTCTTTAGGTCTCACCAATATAGGACGTGAAGACGGGAAGAGTTTCACACCTTGAAAATCCTCTTCACAAGTAGTTGTCCATTCGAACTCTGTCGATTTCTTTATGGCCGCGAAGAAATGGATTGATTTATCCCCTACATAAGACAGGAAACAAGATAAAGTTGTCAAGCGTCCCGTCAACTGTTGGACTTCCTTCTTAGAGGATGGACTTCTCATGTCTATGATTTCCTAGAATTTATCGGGGTTGGCTTCTATTCCCGGTTAGTGAGCATGAACCCGAGGAATTTTTTGGCTTGCACCCAAAAATGCATTTATCCGGGTTCAGTCTCATATTATAACTTCTTATCGAGGCGAAAGTTTCTGCTAGATCTTTGGCATGGTACTCCTATGTTGTTGTTTTGAAGACTATGTCGTCCACATACACCTCCAAGTTCCTATCAATTTATGTGGAAAACACCATGTTCATCAGTCTCTGGTAAGTGGCCCATGCATTTTTGAGGCCGAATGGCATCACGTTATAGTAATAGTTTCTCTGGTTGTTCACGAAAGCCATTTTCGAAGCGTCTATCGGGCTCATCCAGATTTGATTATACTTGGAGTAAGCATCCATAAAACTAAGCTGTCTGAACCCCGAAGCCCCATCTATGAGACGGTCAATGTTGGGTAATGGGTATGGATCTTTAGGACAAGCCTTATTGAGGTCGGTGAAGTCGAAACACATACGCCATTTTCCTGATTTCTTCTTGACCATTACCACATTGGACAACCAGGTTGGGTACTTGATTTCTTTGATGAACCCGACTTGGAGCAATCTTTCAATGTCATATGTAATAGATTTTCTTTTCTCCTCACCCCATTTCCGCTTTCTCTGAAATAGTGGCCTTACGTCAGGATCCAGTGCTAGGTGGTGGCACATAATATTGGGGTTTATTCCTGGCATATCTGATGGCTTCTAGGAAAATAGGTCCACGTTCTCCTTCAGAGTTTTTATGATTTTGTCCTCTTCTTCATGGGATAAGTTAACACCGATATGAGTGATCTCGAAGGGTAGATAACTGATTGGAACCACTTTAGTCTCTTCATTAGGTGTTAAAATATCCTCAGTTGGATCGTCTCAGGGATCTATGTCGACGAGATAGACTTTAAGGTCATTGGACTATTCACCACTTCCTGTCAAACTTTTCTTCTTTGGTTTTAAGCTGTCTTTGTAGCACTTTCTAGCTAGGCCTTCATCACCCTTGACTACGTTGACCCAGACTCCTCCCAGTGGATACTTAATGGTGAGGTATAAGGTTGAAAGATCCGTTTCCAAAGCGTTGAAAGATGGCATGCCTATAATAATGTTGTACGGGGAGGCGGCGTTGACGATTAAACATCTTACCTAGATTGTTTTTGCATTTTCCTCGTTTCTGGAGGTGTTTAGCAATGGCAAGTGTCTGAGCACATGGAGTTGTTCTTATGAGAATCCAACCAAACTTCCTTTAAATGGTAGCAATTCGGTCATATTGAAGCCCATTCCTTTAAAGGCATCCCAATAGAGCACATCGATTGAGCTTTCGAGATCCACCAATACTCATTTTATACTCTAATCATGGATCTGCACTTTTATCACCATTGGATCGTTCTCATGGGCCGGGACTCTGATGGAATCTCGTTTAGAAAAGTTGACGGAATCTAGGTCACCTTCTTATCCCTCAAAAGATTCTTGGGTGATGTGCAACACATCCCGGGCATACCTTTTCCTTACCGAGCTGGTCTCTCCGCCTCTAGCGAACCCACCGACAATTGTGTTAAGTGTATGTCGGGCAATATTCGTTTCGTGCTCTTCTTTGATATCTCTTTCTTTTTTTATGCGAGGGAATTTGCAAGTTGGGGTCGTCTCTCTAGCGACTTCTTTTCTCGAATTGTGACTTGAAATCTTTCACGTATGTCAAGAGATGTCCTCTATGTATCAGTGCTTTGATCTCATTTTTTAGTTTGTGGCACTTTTCAGTATGGTGACCCCAGAGCCGGTGATAGCTACACCAAGCCATCGAGCCCTTCCCTATTATGGTGTTCGCTCTTCTTGGACGTTCCAACTCGGGTATCAAATTCATATGGCCTACATCTTTCAGATAGCCTTGAAGCGGGTTGGTCACGTGACCGAGGATGCTCTTTTCTGCATCCTGACCCTTCCTCCTAAATTTTCGTCTTTTCGGTGGTGTCTCTGGACCGCTTCTCCTGGTTTCTTTCTTCTCCTTTGATGTAGCACTCGACTCTGGTAATAATTTTGTCCATGCTGGACGTTGGCTTCTGCGCCAGAGATTCATTGAACTGTTCGGCTCGAAGACTGTGTTGGAATACTCCAACGAATAACTCCTGGTTGGGGTGTGAAACCTTGATGGTTTCTTCGTTGAATCTGGCCAAGTACTCCCGTAGAGATTCCGCCTGCCTCTGTTGAACATTGAATAGGGTAGTTGTTGAAACCTTTCAGTGTTTGCTCGCCAAGAAGTGTTGTACCAATTTTTCGGTTAAGTCCTGATAGCTCTCCACAGAAAACCAAGGAAGGCTCATGTACCACCTCAGAGCCACATCTTTGAAAGTGTCTGCCATGTGTTTACATTTTAATGAGTCAGAGGGCCAACTACTATCGCCATTTGATTGTTGATGGTGATAATATGCTTTTGGGGGTCGGTTTTGCCATCAAAAAGATGTGAGCAACGGTGTCTTGAAGTTTTCGGGAACTTGATCGTCTTAGATCACTTGTGAGAGTGTATGGGGCTCAAGAGTCTCCTCTTCATGTTCCCCATCTGCTATGCTTTGTTGTTGCGGGATTTCCACGCTATCCTGCAGTGTTTTATTCTGTTGTCGGAGAGCATCCACCATGGCAAGTAGTTGCGCCATGTATGGAGGATCCCTCAATGGATATTCTTCTGAATGTGATGTATGACCTAGAAAATTTTTACCGAGGCTCCATGGTGGGCGCCAAATGTTCTTGCGAAAAATACTAAACTGAGTAACTTCCTTGTAGAAATAAGGAGAGTCACAAAATATAATGATTTTGGGGGATTTGAGTAGCACGAAGGTGGTCCTATGCACTCAAGAATAAATGTCTTGCTTACCCCTCTGATGAGAGCCCCTTTATATAGCCCTTCTGGTGTTCCACTAAAAGTCTCATTCAAGAGGAGACTCTTTGGCTTCTGAATCGTATAACTATCGTCGTCATCATGAATGAGAATGTTTCAAGATGGCTTAACACTGGTGTTAATGCGCCGACAACCATTACAATCATTAATGGGTCGGGCTACTAGCCGGCTACAAACAAACGTGCTCCGGCTACGTACAATATTCGGGTTGGTATCTCAGATGGATTGGTGCCCGGACACAATGTCTATCGGCCTTGACCCTTAGTCGAGTTAGAACTAGGCCCTGGTCTCCATAGGTTATATATACTCATCCAGTTCTCTACGACTTTATGACCCGATTAGAACTAATATATATATATATATATATATATATATATATATATATATATATATATATATATATATATATATATATATATATATATATATATATATATATATATATATATATATATATATATATATATATATATATATATATATATATATATATATATATATATATATATATATATATATATATATATATATATATATATATATATATATATATATATAGTATTGTATTCATTTTGTAGTTTTCAACATTTGAAACTATGAAAATTATTTTCTGCTACTGTCTGCATAAATTCAGAAAATACATTTTTGTTTCCTCCCGTAAATACATCTCCGAGATCAATTGAAGTTTAATAAATAAATAAAGTTGTGTCCCGGAAATACACTTTCGAGAACAGAGATAAAATAGATTTTCATAGAATTTTTTTCAATGACATAAGGTAAAATAAGAAATTCTCAAAATTATTTGGTCAACTCACTATCCAATTCAAAAATTTGTGAATTTGCGCAAACCCATTGATGTAACGGATGTTATTTTATCTCGCCCTAATCGAATTGACTTATATGAATTGAGTATTAGGTTTGATAAATTTCAATCTAAACCAATCTATATACGCTCCTAAGTACAAATTCACAATCCCGCTAACTCGCTTAGTGAGATTGAATATAATTACGGTCTAATATTTACAACAAAATACAACAAGCACGTTATTACGGTCTAAAGTTTACATATTTCATTTACATTGCCTTGAATGCACTAAATTGTAATAAGACGGAGACGGATACGAGCATGTTATGATGTTATGTTATGAGTAGTGTTTCTCAAGAGAGAAAAAAAAAATCTAGTAATAGAGACAAACTTCCTTATTATTAAACAACGCCTACATCTGTGACACATTATTACTATACTTATATCAAAGAATTTTTAGTTCAATAGTTAAATTGATTAAAGATAGTTCAAATCTTTTTCCCAAATGGCCAGAAGCATGCATGTAAGTAAAGTCATGAAGGAAGTATTGAAAGTTGACTCAATCTATATAAATGCCGAGCGGGAACTGTATATCTATCTCATACGTTTTTATATACACAGGGAAGCGCGTGAATGCTATTTATTATAATAAAACTGCAAATAGATCAATGAGCTATAGAATAATTAAACTTTTTTATAAAGTAAAAAAGCACGTGTGGACAAGAGTGTGTTTGATGATTATTGTCATTTTGTTTTGCACTTTGACACACACGAAACCAACACGGCAACCTTAAACATAAATACCAGTCAATTTCAAACAACAAAAGACACTCACACTTGTTTCCTATGCTTCATTATTCTTCATCAAACATTGGTTAACATTAACATGGGTCTTTGTTTTTCAACACTCTCTCGCCTACCACCACCCTCTTCCCTCAACATCCTTCCCTCTTCAGGTTGTAATGATAAGAGTAAAGTTTGGGAGATGGGAAGTAATGAAAGTGGAAAGCTTCTAGAAATGTCAAACTTGAAGGTGTTTAGCTATGGAGATTTGAAAATTGCAACAAAGAGTTTCAAGTCAGATGCTTTGCTTGGGGAAGGTGGTTTTGGTAAAGTGTATAAAGGTTGGCTAAATGCTGAAACACTTGCTCCTGCTAAAGCTGGTTCTGGAATGATGGTGGCTATCAAGAAAATGAAACCTGATAGTTTGCAAGGTGTTCAAGAATGGCAGGTAATTTCGTTTTCATTTCAATTCATTCAGGACTCTTTGCTCTATTCAGTTATCTGAATCTGACTATAAAATTTCTTCTTCTTCCTCTTTTATTTATGACAATGCAGACAGAAATCAACTTTTTAGGAAGTATTTCTCATCCCAACTTGGTCAAGCTATTGGGTTATTGTAGGGATGATGATGAATTTCTCCTTGTGTATGAGTTTATGCCAAGGGGAAGCTTGGAGAACCATCTATTTAGAAGTATGAACTTTGGCACAATTAATGTTAATAAGCAAAAAAAACAATAATACTGGTTAATGTATTTGAGTTTAAACTCAGTTTTGTTTTGTTTTTGGTTAGGAAATACTAACAGAGAACCACTTTCTTGGAAGTCTCGACTCGAAATAGCTATTGATGCAGCTAGAGGTTTGGCTTTCTTGCATTCTTCAGATAAACAAGTGATATATAGAGATTTCAAGGCTTCTAATATACTTCTTGATGGGGTTAGTTACTTTTGGCTAGTTTCTTGGTCTTGTTATCTTATATATATATTCCACTGCCTTTTTATTAATAATCAATCATTTGTGTCGTACAGAATTACAATGCAAAGATTTCAGATTTTGGGTTGGCTAAATTTGGACCATCAGGGGGAGATTCACACGTGACGACTAGGATCATGGGTACACATGGTTATGCTGCCCCAGAATACATTGCAACAGGTGATTACATTTATATCTGCATTTATATCTTTACACATTAAATGGATGATTTTTGAATTGAACATGGGAAAAATAGTCTAATATGAGTTGTGTGATGTTATTCAACAGGTCATTTGTATGTGAAGAGTGATGTTTATGGATTTGGTGTAGTGCTACTTGAAATGTTGACTGGATTGCAAGCACATGATTCAAAAAGACATTCAGAGCAGCAGAATCTGGTCGAATGGATTAAGCCTTTTCTCTCGAATAAAAGAAAGTTGAAAAGTACCGTAATGGATTGTAGGTTAGAGGGCCAATATTCACCAAAGGCAGTGTTAGAAACAGCTAAGCTTATTCTTAAATGCCTTGAACATGACCCTAAAAAACGCCCTTCTATGAAAGATGTTTTGGAAACATTGGAAGGCATAAAAGCTATTAAAGATAGAAGGAAGATATCCAAGAATCACTTGCACTAAGTCTGCAGCTAATAGCTACGTATAATTTACAAAAGCTATTGAGGGTAAACATTTGATTCAGTGAATAGGATGTTATCTGTCATTTATATATTTTATTTTGTTATTTGGAGGAAAAATTATTTTGTCAACGAGTTAGTCCCAATTTTTTAGTGGGAAACTGTTTTCTGTTTTAAGTAATGTTAATTACTTTGTCAAAACAAAAGGCTACTTGTGCTCTAGGACTATTCCAATCGTTCACTTTTGGTTTCAGATTTTCCATCGTTCTTGTTATAGCCATGGATTCACTCTTGTTATATACCTTAAAGAAATTCTACACAAAATCTTGGAAGAACATGAATGATTAGCCCAAAATTTTAACATTCCAATAATATATTTGTAAGATCACTGTGTTTTCTTCTTTATCTAATTATCTATCATTCATCTATAATCGATCCAAACAAGGAAAACCATGGTCACATTCAGCAGTCGGATCCGTACACAGGAAGTATGCAACTGCAGACAAGATTTTATCAATCTCCCTCCTATCCATTTAGATAAATTATTTATAACTAAATTTAAAAAAGGAGCAATGTAGAGTGTCACATAAAATCCACTGCCAACATTGACTAAGGCAAATATTATGTAGTAACCTTCATTTCTAAAATAAATATGTAAAATTATTGCATGATATGGATTGCTTATAAGCATACAATATAATTAGAGGAACCTTAAAATGGTTCCATCTTAAACAGGGTTACAGATAAAAAAAAAAATTCAAATATACATGAAGGGGGGAAACATCAATCAAGCAGCAATCACTTGGGTAGGATGTCATTGGACTATGACATAAATAATTTTTGGAAGTTACAATGACTGCAAATTAGTAATAAATAACAAAAGTATGATAAGCAGCAAAAGAGGGGCTTAAAGATTGAATTGTTTAAGTGATTTAAATGTAGAACTAAATCCCCTGATGGTGACTCCTTTTGCAGAAGCTGAATACTTCACAAAATTCTAATTCCCCAAGTTGATTTGTGTAGAAGTTAACGATGGGGATTGTTTAGGCGGGGTCTGTTGCAGAAAACCCGTCCATTGGCCCTCACAAAAGCTGCTAAACCGACACTAATGCCGGCCCACATTAGTGAAAAGAAGGCGTGCCTAAAATCATATTGAACTGCAGCAACAATAAACAAAATAACAATTTTCAGGCCATATATTTCACATATGTAATCCGTAGTTGAATACCCTATTAATTGTACAGAGTTATCGCTCTAACCTTAGCTAGCAAAGTTTACAGAATTATCTAGTTCACTCACAATATTTTTTACTGTGAGCTTAAATACTTGCAAAGAGTAAGCGCAGAAAATCTCGCAAACTTTTTACATCACTTGCTTTAAATACTTAAATATCTCGAAACCTTGGGCATGTTGGCAGCAGTAGGCTACAAGATATCCGACCACTTTAAACCACTTCTGAATAACTCAGCTGGTAATTAAAACAGGGCAACAGGAGTGAAGGAGGGTTTTCCATTCTTGCAAAACTAACTAAACAAGACTAAATTAATTATCATATTTTAGGTGTCTTGTGTACCTCAGTTCTCAGCACTTAACAAGTGGTTGCCTCTAATATACCTCTTTCCTCTCCCCCTTATTCTCTATCCCTCTTAGGATCTGTTTGGTTTGAAAAAACCTTTTCAGTTTTAATAACAATTTTTTATCAGTTTGTTTTTTTATTTCAAAAGTATGGATGAGAATCGGTGAAAGCAATTTGTTTTCACTGCTTTTAAAAACAAGAAATATAATCAGAGAACAATTTCTCACATGCCATAAACTTCCCTGGTTCCCCCAGTCCCCCACATTCTTCACTTCCCCTGAATGTCCTCTCCCACTACTCTATTGTCTCAGTCTAATGTAATTGCCTGAACTGATTCTGAAAAGGTCGGACTGGATTTGAATCAGACGCCTTTAAAGTAGTAGGTTGGTTCCGTTTATTATTTTTTTTGAACCAACACCGAGAGACATCCATGCACGAATGTGTGCACATATGAGTGGCAAATTAATTATTAGTTTAAGCCTTAACTAAATAATGTAAACTCACCTTGTCTCAATGACATGGTTGCAAAAAAAAATCCAGTTAAAACCAGTGCAAAAGCCAGAGGAAACGACTGCAAACAAAAACAATAATATCAATATTTATTTCCATTAAATGCATATGACCATCTTGAAGCATTCTAATGATGAACTGCATGTCAACAAAACGCAGATTGCGAAATAAAAATCATATTACATCCTCAAACAAAAGGAGAATGCTGCAATGCATTATCCAGCATTTAAGTAACTTCAACATTTTCCTGACTGAATAATCTAGTTTCTCCTATAAATATTATAGGCAGTTTTTTATCATAAACCACTAAGCTTCATGCGGTAATTATTGTGGACCATTGCATTCCATCACTTTTCTGTAGGGTTAGGACCAACTTTCTTTAAACCTCGACAGAAAATATAGGCAGTGTCCACGAAAAACAGACTTCAATTCATTCATTTTGTATGAATGTATGCGACTAAGAATTTAGCCACACATAGAATTTAAATGTGATAGTAAATTGTGAGCTTTCTAAGAACTGATCTTAAACACAAAAGTGATGCCACAAACATCAACAAAAAATATCCGTCAATATTGTACTCACAGCTATAGCTTCAATTCCTCCTTTCTGAGAAGAGGCAGCTGTATCTCGGCCAACAGATACTATATAATGTCCTTGCAGGAGATCAATTGCATCCTTCACATAATAAATGAAAAATATGATTGACACAAATCAATTACATATAAACTATTAAGTTTTTTAAATTAACAAATTTATAAAAGGTAATAGATCTAGAGAAGCTCGAAAGTAATTTAACTCAGAGATCTATTCAGACAGGGTATATTAAGAAAAAGAGTCATCAAAATTAAAATATATACATGAAAATTCAGCATCTTCTTCAGCATAATTAATATGTAAGGTAGCACAGACTAAAACTTTGAATTGGGATGCAGAAGGGAGAGTTAAATATACATAAGACAAAACCTAGACGATGATAATTATTAGAATTAGAGTCTGACCAAACTCATCCCTACAAAACTCTCAAGCTCTATCTATAACCAATGTGGGACTTGGGATCTTCCCAATACACCCTCTCACGCCAGCACCCTATTGGACTTGGTGCATGGATATAAACGGTGGGTGGCCCGTAGTCCAATTGATAGGCTCTAGTATCATCTTAGAATTGTTGTTGGGTCTAACTCAACCTTACAAATTATAATGATAATAACTAGTATGACCAATGTAGGACTTGGGATCTTCCCAGTAATAATAAGTTGAGTTGTGACCAACTAGTAGACTCCAAAGGATCTCTAGACAATAACTACAGTACCCCCATACGTTATGTTTAATAAGTTTTACAAACCTGCTTTGTTCCATCACAAAAGTTATTCAAATAATATCTTTGGAGAGCATTCAAACCATCGTTTACTATCCCCTGAACGGTGCGGTGCCCAAACCTAAATCCCACCAAAAAAAAAATAATTAGGGAAGTCATGATGGTCAAACTTCAAATCATATAATTCATAATAGCAACACATTTTAAATTTCAGACACGTGGTCTTATCAAATTGTCACACGTATAAAAGAATTGCACAATCGAATTATAAAGTTTTTCCTTATTGCCTGGTTGTCATTTTAATTGAATATCATAGTTAATGTAATTAAAGCGTGCAATAGAGAAAAGCAACAGCCTAAAAGTAAAATGGAAAAAATTTACAAGAAATCCATAATTCCCATACTGTAAAACATATACAATCAGAGTCAGCATATGATACAAGAGATGCAAATACATTTAAAATTATTCCATGCTAATGTAAATTCAACATAGAAAAACCTTTATGGACACATAATTTAACAATCTTCTTAATATGCATGGAACATTAAACGATATTGTAAAGACTATCAGAAAAATACCTGACAAAGTCTCCTTTCAGAGCAGGAGTTCCTGAATATTGGATACTTACATCATCCCCATGATTAGCCCACACTGATCAGAGTCAGGTACAAATTGAATCAAAGATTTCAAAAGCGACAAAAAGAGTGAAAAGTTGAAAATAACTACATAATACAACATATATATCTACATTTCAAATCACATAATCCGAAAAGGAATAATACACTTACAGATCTTAAACCTTTCATCAAGATTTGGATGAGAACTGATGGTTTCTTCAGCCCCAAAGACTCCAAGTCTTCTAAGCTGGTATTCTAACATATTTCGGCCTATCATGCTCTACACATATACTTTAACATCAGTAAACTGGAAAATAAATGATGCCATAAGCAAATAGTGGGACACGCACAAGTAGGAACGAGTCTTAGAAGGGACGGAGGATGGCCATAGCCACCCAAAAAAAATCCTTCCTGATAGGGGTGTGTGTTTGTGTATTAACATTAGAAGTATTGGTATAAATTATAATATAATACCTCTGTCTCTAAATATAGGATCCCGTTAACTAAATCACGGGAATTAAGAAAATTGGTAGTAGTAATAAAATTGTTAACAAATCATTAATTAAAGTCTATCCTTGAGGTTATTAATTAAAGTGGAACTAATTAAAGTCTATCCTTCAAGAGAGAGATATATCATTAATTAAAGTGGAACTAATGGTCATTTCTCCCTGAGGGAATTTGAAATTCATTCCTTGAGGTTACAAAATCAGACTTTTACCACTGAGCTGACACTTCATCCTTCATTCAAGAGAGAGTTAGTTTATGTTTCCATCAAAATATTTATTGTTGGTTACAGAAAAAGACGTAAAATAATTACGGGTATGTTGGTAAAGAAATAATTAATGCAGTTGAAAATTTAAAAGGAAACTTATGAAAAGGGACAAAGAATTTTCTCAAGGGGGTCTTATTACAGAGGTAGTATAACTCTTTGGCCCACTCCATAAAACTATTTAAGCTCTGCTATGGCTAAGTGAAAATAGTTTTG